TAGAGCTACTCAAAGTATCTATTTCAAATTGGATGAGTTGTGTTTTTTGAGGAAACGGTCCATTTCATCTAACTTGTCAAGCTTATACAGAGTTGTGCATCATATTCTTTTATTATCTTTTTGATGTCTGCAGGGTCTGTACTGATCACTCGTTTCATTTCTGATGTTGGTTATTTGTGTCTTTTCTCTTGCAATAGGTTTGCCAATTTTACTGGTCTTTTCAAAGAACCAGTTCTTTCTTGTTTTACTTTTTTCTCTTTTGTTTTTAATGTCATTGGTTTCTGCTCTTATCTTTTATTTCTTCCTTCTATTTGCTTCTTCCCCTTCTTTTTCTAGGTTTTTGAAGTGAAAACTTAGATTATTGATTTGAGACTTTTCCTTTTTTCTAATACATTAACTTAGTGCTATAAATTTTCCTGTTAACACCGCTTTAGCTGTGTCCCACACTTTTTGATATATTATTGTCTTCATTTGGTTTGATGTATTTTTTTAAATTTCCCTTGAGATTTTCTTTTTGACTCATACATTATTTAGGAAGCATATTGTTTAATTTTCACATGTTCGGAAAATTTCCTGTTATCTTTCTGATATTAATTTCTAGTGTGATTCCCCTGTGGTTTAGAACACATTCTGTATGACTTCAACTTTTTTCAGATTTGTTGAGCCTTATTTTATGGCTCAGGATATGGTCTATCTTAATAAATATTCCACGAACACTTAAAAAGAAAGTGAATTCTGCTGTGGTTGAGTGGAATATTCAGCCAATGTTAGACATTTTGTTGGTTGATTACGTTGTTGAGTCCTGTATCTGTGCTGATTTTCTATTGCGTTATTCGATCAATTGTTGAGAGGGGAATATTGAAGTCTCTAGCTAAAATTGTGGATTTGTCTCTTTTGCCTTTCAGTTCTGCCAGTTTGCTTTACATATTTTTTTAGCTCTCTTGTTTGGTGCATATACATATAAGATTGCTCTATCTTCTTGGTGGATTGAACGTTTATTATTATACAATGTCTATCTCTAGAAATTTTCTCTGCTCTCTCTCCATTATATGATATTAATATAGCCACTCTTACTTTATATGGTTAGTATTTGAATTATATATCCTTTTCCATCTTTTCCCATTCAACTTGCCTATTTGAGGTGAGATTTTTATAGATAGTATGTAACTGAGTTATTTTTAATCCACTCTGTCTTTTAATTGGTATGCTTAAACCATTTACATCTAATGTAGTTATTGCTAAGTTAAGGCTTAAATCTGCCATTTTTATGTATCTTTCTTCTGTTCGTCTGTTTTTTTCATTTGTTTTCTTTTCCCTCTTTTTCTATGGGTTGCTGGAACATTTTTTAGAATTCAATTTTGATTTATCCATAGTATGTTTTTAGTACATCTCTTTATATAGGTTTTTATTGATTATCATAGGCATTGCCATATATATACATAACCTTTCACAAATAATTGTTGTTGCTTTGTCTGTTTGAGTGAAGAACTCGCCTTCTTTTATCCTCTTCTGTTTATATTTGTCTTAATTATTTCACCTACATACATTTAAAATAGTATTAGGCAATATTATAATTTTTGCTTCAATCATCAAACATAATTAGGAAACTCAAGAAGAAAAGGAGAGCCTAGGTTGCTGGGGGAGGCAAATATAAGAGGACTAAATGGTAATGGGAAAAAATATAATAAAGATTATATATTTAAAAAAGGGAAAAAGAAAAGAAAAAGAAATGAAAGCCTAGACCTGACTGGTGTGGCTCATTTGGTTGAGCATCATCCAGCAAAGAGAAAGGTTGTTGGTTCATTTCCCAGCCAGGGCACAGGACTGAGTTGTGGGCCTGGTCCCTGGTTGGGGGTGTGCAAGAAGCAACCAATAGATGTTTCTCTCACACATCAATGTTTCTCTCCCTCTCTTTCTCCCTCCCTTCCTGTGTCTCTAAAAATAAATAAATAAAATCTTTTAAAAAAGAGAAAGAAAAAGAAGGGAAAGCCTATAGTAATTGCTCAGATTTTGCTTACTGTTATTTTTTCTTTTCTGATATTCCAATATTCCTTTTAACATTGTCTTCCTGTTTCGAGAGTTCCCTTTAGCCATCCTTTGGGTAAGTCTGCTGGAAAATTATCTTCTTTTTTAGTTTGAGAATGTCTCGATTCCCCTTCATTCTTGAAGGATATTTCTGCCAGATTTGTGATTCAACGTTGACAGTATTTTTCTTTCAGCATTCTAAAAATACTGCACAACCTCCTTCTGGCCTCTGGCTCCTGATGAGAAATCAGCTGTCATTCAAATGGTTTTTCTTTGCTGCTTAGATTTTGTGGTGTCTTCAATTTTGATAAGTTTAATTAGGATGCATCTTGGTGTTGATTTTGGACGGCATGATTATCTTGTTTGGGGTTCACTCTGCTTATTCTTTGAGTAGGTTTCAGCCTTGGCCTCTCACGTCTCTCCTTCCAGGACTGTGATGACACAGATTTTAGATTTTTATTACACTACCTGGGATTCCTGAGGCTCTGTGAATTTTTTCCCAAGTTTACCTTCTCTCTACTGTTCAGATCAGGTCGTTTCTCTTGGTTTTTTTCTTCCACATCAGTGGTTCTTTTCTCTGCCCCCTCCCTTCTTGCGGTTTAACCCATTCTTTGAGCTTTTTATTTTGGTTATTGTATTTTTTAATCTAAGATCTCCATTTGGTTCTTTATATTTTGTATTTCTTCCCTTAAGTGTTCTATTTCTTTGTTGAGGATTTCCCTTTCTTTCTTTTTTTTCATTTTTTTCATATGTTCACAATCACTCCCTGGAGCAATTTTATCATGGTTGCTTTAAAATCTGTCAGGTCATTCCAACATTTCTGTCACCTTGATGTTGGCATTCATCGATTTTCCTGTTTTAATTCATTTTGAAATCTTCCTGGCTCTTGGTATAATGAATGATTACCAACTGAAATGTAACATTTTCCTCTTATTTAATCTTTCAGTTTTAGCTGGCTCTTCCTGACTCCAGCCCAGCAGTGGGAGGGAGCTGGGCTCCACCTCGTTACTGCCAGGTGGGGGCGGAAGTCTTGGCTTCCCACCTGGGAACCTGGGGGTATGCTCCCCACTTTGTTCGGAGCCCACTCTTTACAAGGCATCTGTCCTACGTGTTCAGAGCATGACATGAGGAAGCTGTCCTCTACCAGTGTCCCTCTCCCTATAGGCACATGTCCAGAAAAGGTCATTTTGATAATGTGTGTGCAGTTCAGCACATGCTTTCATGCTTTTGAGAAATCAGAGACTAATTGGGAAGATTTAGTTTAAAGACTTCCAAGAAAGAGTTCATATTTTGCTTACTTCAAGAGCATCTGTATATTTCACAGACAAGGGCAGCACTTTGTGGTCAACAGTTGCTGCCCTGATCTTAAAGCCCCAGCACGCAGGGTCCCAGGCCCCCAGGCAGGGGCAATTAAAACTGTAACCTAACACCACACTCTGTTTCTACTGCCCTAATGTTCCAAAGTTGTGAATGGGAACAGTGTTAAGGAAAATACATAGGATTGGTCCATTAAAAAATTAGGAGTCCTAGCTAAAACAGTGCAATTCCACCTGAATTTTAGGGTGCTCATTCTGCCGATAAATTCTTAATCATCATCAAGAAAATAGGCAGAATAATGGCCAGAGAAGTTTTGTTATTCTTATTTGGCTACATGGGTCCCTTAAAGGGAAAATCTAGATGTGACAATAAATAAAATTCCAGATTTTTGTGTACAATACCCATTACTTTAATTCAATTTTGATGAAAATATTTGTAAAAAGGCCTCTGTGGCACATTACACTTGCCTGGCATTGCCCTTCGATGGCAGCGATGGTGCCCCAGTGGGCAGACGTCATGGCCCCAGCTCTGTCTCTAATCAACAGTCTCTGAGCCTGTAGCTCTGGTCACACATCAAGGTTAATTTGAGGGTGGGGGGTGGAGGCTCGTCGTTCTCTAGAAGCTCAGGTCACCTGGCCTCTTGGCACACTCACTAACTCGGGGGTGAGACAAGTGCCAGGAGTTTTCAAGGTGCCCCAGGTGACTCTGATGGTCCTCCAGGCCAAGTGTCCCCAGCTGGACACTGCTGCAATTCTGCAGCCACAAGCATGGCCCACTAGGAACTCTCAGGCCCACTGGGTCCCCCTAAGTCGGATTCTGCATTTCAACTAGATGCCTGGGGCGTGGTGTGCGTTCAATTTTGAAAATTACTCTAGACTGTATGGCTGTGAATTCCCCCATAAATGCAAAAAAGTCCTAAAGAGCCCAGTCCCTCCCAGTAACAGATCTCAGGGCACATCATCCTCACGCTGACACGGAGCATCAGGAGCGACGGGAGGTGAAGGGACCTGGGAACCCCCGAACCCTCTCCTCTGGAACGGAACTTCTAGCCCCTTTCACACTCTGGCCCTGTTTTTGCGATGTCAGATGTAGTCTCTCCAGTGAGTTACAAATACAAGGAATGACAGTATCTGGAGCCCCTTGTAGAGCCCCAGCAGTTGCAATACCACGACAGTGGTCGCCTGCTCCCCATCACCTCAGACCAGGAAGTGTCTGAGCAGCAGGTGAGCAGGCCTGTCTTTGGGCTGACCTTACATCTTGCCTCCTGGAGGAAGTGACAGAATGGGGCAGAGCTGAACAAGTGGCTGTTCATGCAAGGAAGTGTTTCTCCCTAGTCGTTACCCTAACAAAGTTACAGGCCAAGGGCATCCTGAAAGGAGGGGGTGGTAAAAAGAGGTGACCTGGCCCTGATTTGCCCAGGAGAGGAGGTTGAGGGCACCTGATAGGAGGAGAACCCGCAGAGCTCACGGAGCCGCTGCCACTGGTGTTTGGGCAGCCGAGGTCTGATAACACGGCTGTGGTGCTTTTCCTGGACTCTCCCTACGGTGCCTTTGACCTCTGAAGGAGACTATAAAACCCAAAGGAGGATCTCCTCCTCTCAGTCTGGGTGTGGGGAGCGCCCCTGTTCTGCAGGAGGGAGGCCTCCAGAAGCAGGGACGATGGCAGCGTTGCAGGAGAAAAAGTCGTGCAGCCAGCGGATGGAGGAGTTCCAGCGCTACTGCTGGAACCCGGACACGGGGCAGTTGTTGGGCCGGACCCTGTCCCGGTGGGGTAGGTCCCTGGCAAGGAAGGGAAAGGAGGGGCAGCTCTGAGAGGAGAGGCAGAAGGCCACCCACCAGCAGGCTCCCAGGACCCAGGCCCTGTCCAGGCTTCAGGCCAGGGCTCGCCTCCCTCACCAGGTGACCCCAAAGGCCCTTCAGCTCTCATACCCGCTGGCACCAGGCACCCGCAAGGTGGGAACGTCTGAGGATTGGCCCCAAAGTTTCAAGCTTCGATTTGAGAATAGGATTTTATCACTATGTTCCTAAAATGTATGTTTTAAAAAGACTTTAAGTCAAGGGGTATGGGGTTTCTTTGGAGTGATGAGAATATTCTGGAACTAGATAGAGGTAATAATGATTGCACAACGTTGTGTGTGAATGTACTAAACACCACTGAGTTTTCCACTTTAAGATGGTTGCAATGGTGGGTTTTCCCTTGTGTGTCGTACCACGATGAGGAAGTGTCAGCTGCGTCTGACCGGCCTCTCCCCGCAGTGTGGATCAGCCTCTACTATGTGGGCTTCTACGTGGTGATGACTGGACTCTTCGCCCTGTGCATCTACTCACTGATGTGTACGCTCGACCCATATACGCCAGACTACCAAGACCAGCTGAAGTCACCAGGTAACGGGGGAGACACTTGAGCCTAGACACCAGGACCCCAGGTGGGCAATACTCAGTCTCTGAGCTGCTCAGAGGGCAAACCCTCCGGGCACAAAGTCCCGAGAGACCTACACGGGCCTCTCTGTCACTTCCACCATTGGCCACAGGGCTCTGAGGGTACACCCGGGCATGGATGGTCCCTCACCTTCTGATAGGGAAGATGACCCCTGACTATAAAGTCCAACTTTGGTGTTAGTTGTAATTATTAAAAGTTTTTTTGTGATGGAGTCTTTTTATCACTGGCTTTCTATGCATATATATACACAGAGGGCATTTCTGGGAGGTTATGCAAAAAACTGTTCCCAGCGAGGTTATGAATGAAGGGTCTGGGGCTGGGAAAGAGCTTCTGTTTTCCCCTTGATGTCCGTCAGCACTGAGGCGACACTTTTGTAACAGCAAATTCAATTCAGACACCAAGGTTCCTCTAGTGCAGGTCGTCTAGTGTCCTGTGGGAGTGGGGCGGCTTGGACCGTGGGCTGAGCCTCGGCTCTCCACTCCTGAGTCAGCACACGAGCCATTCGTGACAAGGCTCGGGGGCCTGACACAGTGAGGCGTCACCTCCGCAGTCCGGGCGGAGGTGATTGGAGCCAAAACTCCACATCCAGCCCATTAACCAAAGGTGACTACAAAAAAACCCCCAAAAAACCCATCGGAGGGAGGGAAGGAAGAGAAAAAAAAGAATTGAAGGAAGAAAAGGCATTTTCCAGCACACAGTTATGCAGGATGTTTAACACCCACACATCCTTAATACTTTCGAAGGAGGATAATAACCCCAGAAACATCCAACAGCAGCACAAAGAAAAAGAAAATGCAAACGTTTTTAAGAGAAGCTGCCTCAGACTTTCTCCAGTGGGTAAGCTTAGCGGGTCCAGCCATTCCGCTGGGATCTTCGGTGAATCCATTTACAGGTACCACCACCAAAGTGCTTTATTTATTGGGCGTTAATTTCTAGAATCAACCAACAGATGAAACATGGAGCATCTCTATCATTTCAGAACACAATGTAATATATTACAGACTTGAGAACATAACCATAATATAATTTGTCCAAACTGCAAGGACGGATGGCAGGGCGAGGTGCGTTCCCTTGTCACAGGGAGGAGGCAGGGGAACAGGTGAGAGTCTCCACCTGAAGCTGATGAACAAGTCATGTGGGAACCTGAGAGCACGCTGAGAGTGAAGAGTTGAGAGGAGGGCGTGGAGAGCTTTCTTCTTCTTTCTCTTTTCCATTTAGACCTTTCTGAAGGTTTTTATTGTACAGCTGTTACTTTCACAACATCCGTAAAACAACAAAAACCCTACCTCATTTACTTAAAAAGTCACCTGCATCCATCAGGGAACAGGCTAAATAAGTCATAGAACATTCACACCACAAAACACGATCTGGTATTCGTGGAAAGAAAGAGGTGAGTTGATACGAAATGCCAGGGGAAGGTGATTACAACTGGTGCTGGAAAATCAAAAGAGGTAAGTGGAGTATGGCAGGCACGCTCCCACCTATGTGAAGAAACGCGCGATACACACAGCAGGTCTCCGCCTTTGTATTCACAGAAACAAGGAAGTCTCCTGCAGATGGATGCACACCGGACTGGAGACGGGGGAAACAGGGCTGTTGCTGCACCCTCCTGCTCTCGCACTTTTTTTTTTTTTTTTTTTTTTTTTACAATTAACCTGTTAGCATGCATTTGTACTTAACCAAAACCAGGGATGATTTTTCAAATATGCATTCAAATACAGCTGCACTTAGAAACGCAGTGGATCCTGGATGAGTTGTCCCCTGCAATGAGCGTGGCCACCTGTGTGGCACTGATTCAGGCCCCATGTGCAAGAAGGGCCCACCTGGCCCTCAGCTGAGTGCCGCACCCTGATCCCAGAGGCCTCGTTCTGACTGCACAGCCCCCAGGCTGGAGGGCAGGGTCCTCACTGAGCTGCCGGCGCAAAGGACGCCTGGCTGCAGCCTCCTCGTATGGTGGCCCTTGAAGACCTGGGCCCAGCCGGTACCCCAGCATCGCACACCCGGCCTCCACCAGCTCAGGACAGCTCTGCATACAACTCACCAACCCCACAGCGAACAGCTTGCACATGATGAACACTTGCAGAAAACTAGTAAGTGTCATGCTCTCCTTCCAGGGGTGACCTTGAGGCCAGATGTTTACGGGGAGAAAGGTCTGGACATTTCCTACAATGTCTCTGATAACAGGACCTGGACGGACCTAGTGCACACCCTCCACGACTTCCTGGCAGGTAAGGTTTAAAACGCTTCCACAGCCTTTATTTTCCCTAAGAAGAGTCCCCTGAGGGGCACGGGCTTCGTGGCCCTCCACCAGCTCTTGGGCGGCTGCAGCTGGAGGAAGGGCCCACAGGAGCGTCTGTGCCGGCAGGCTACTCGCCGGCGGCCCAGCAGGACAACATCAACTGCACCTCCGGGAAGGTATTCATCCAGGAAAGCTTCAGCGCCCCCAACCACACCAAGTTCTCCTGCAAGTTCACAGCAGACATGCTGCAAAACTGCTCGGGCCTGGTGGATCCCAACTTCGGCTTTGAGGAAGGAAAGCCGTGTTTTATTATTAAAATGAACAGGGTGAGTATGAAAGCGCTGGAGTTCAGAGATCCAGTATGAGGCTCCTTAGGAGATTCGTGTGGGGTGGAGGGTCAGGGCGTTCAGACCCCCTCTGACCACACAAACCCTCCTGTCCAGGGTTCCAGAGGTAGCAGGTCAGACTTGCACCGGCTGCTCCTTCCTCACTCTGCACCCATTGCATTGGCTCATAAAGCTGATTACTTCTCTCAAACACAAATGAAAACTGTGCATTCTGACACAGCATCTACGTGACCCTCTGCAGCATCTGGACATTGAGCGGCAGAGCACAGGGCTATTCAGAGTGGCTAGGGCAGCCATGTGTGCATAGTACCTAGAAAGAGGCTGTGTACGCGTGCAGGGAGGACACCTGGGCAGAGGTTTCCAACGTGAGCCAGGGATTCACTGACGGGCCCGGGCCAGGCCCTGAGGGAGGCAGGCTGTGAGGACAGAGCCAATGCAAGCACACCAGAGGCGGGCACAGTCCTTCTAGACGGGGGGCGTGCAGAGGAGACCTGAGGGATGGGATCTGGATGGGTGAGGGAGTGAGGGGGCACAGCTCCATGCTGGCAGCAGGTGAGGCTGGGGGCGGGGTTTCTAAGAAGCCTAGGGGGACTACCCATTTGTGTGCTGTGTATGGGCCCCAGGTCCCAGCTGGGGTCTCATCAGAGCTGTCTGACTCATGCAGCACAGGAGGGCTGTGCGCACTGGGGCAAGTACAGGGAGGGGGAAGGCAGGTGCTATACTGGGCCCTGGGCACGAGTGGGCACACACAAGGGCCAGGACCTCAGGAGGTTGAGAAGGGCATGGGCTGGGAGAAGCACAGGTGGGCTGAGGGAGACTGCGTGGGGAGCTGCTGCCCAGGAGGCAGACGCTGTGCCCTAGTTCAGTGCCCTACGGAGGGCGTGGAAGTGGCAGCCATACTTCAGGCCCTCCCATCCGGGTCTGCCACCTGCCTGCGGCCAAGACCACAGCCCTGCGGTAGGGCTTCTGGCTTTGAAGGAGTTGGTAATACCCACTGGGTGTTGTTAGAATAAGAACCACTCCCCCACCCCCTTCTCAGTGCCCTGCGGAAACCCCAGTTCAGGCAGGTCCCCACGCTCACAGCCGAGCACGAGGGGCCACGTGGACACCTTTCCCTTGCAGATCGTCAGGTTTCTCCCCAGCAACCAAACGGCCCCCAGGGTGGACTGCACCTTCCTGGTGAGTGTGACTGTCTGCGCCCATCTTGTCATTGCTAGGAAACCGTGGGAATAAACCACATACACAAATTGCATGAACTGTCGCTTAACATGGGATAAAAACCGAGTAGGAAAAATACGTTAATGTTTTGCTTCAAAAAGCACCTGGGACAGTATATTAGTAACACACTTCAAAATATTTGCTGGCAATTTGGAGAAACCAAGATACCTCTGCTATTGTTTTGTCCTTTTTATTTGATTATTTACAAAAACACACCAGATTACCAACAGCTATAGTTGTTTAATACTGTGTGTATACGGGCTGCTAACAGTTGGTGTTTATTCCAGTTTTTCTCAAAACCAGTTTTTAAGTACAACATGAAAAAACTAAATTTGTCTTCACTGAGCATTTTCCGAAGCTTATTTTCGCCACTGCGCCTCCAACCAAAGGCTCCCTGTCACCAGCAGCGGGCGCCCCCCTCAGGGGTTCCGCAGAAACGCCACACTCGGAACTTGTAATCTCTCCATGGGGCATGCGGTCATCTTGTTTTGTTTTTCCCTTTTTCGTTATTTCAATCTGTGTAGCTGACTTGAGGTTTTAAGAGACACCAAAGTAGCCTTCACCTGCTCTTTGGGAAGCTCAAACTATCCATCAGGCAATTCACCGACTCCGAAAGTAGATCCTGATCCCAGAAAGCCACCCAAACATTGAGCCAGCTCTGGCAAACCAGCCTGTACAGCCTTATCAGCTTTCATGCCCACGTGCAGCTAAGCAAGATTTCTTGGCTCTATTTGCCTTCATTATCCTACAAGGACTTAAAATGGTAAAAATATGAGTTGATAAGTCACCAAGGTTTTTACAACCAACAAATTATAACCCTAACGGACCTCAATACGGATTATAAAGATTAGATCTAGTTTATGCTAATTACATAATAAAGTGTCTATGTATCGCCTACATAGTACACACATGCATATGCACGCATGTACATCTCATACATGTAGAGACACACAGGTACACATGCATGCATACACAAATGCCTGAAGAAACGTGGACAGAGGTGCACACATATGGCACATGCACACACATACAAACAGGCGCTCCGAGACGTGCAGGCACACACAGCAACAACACACCCAGATGCTGCCTTACTCAGGCAGTGCCCTCTCCTCCCCCAGGACCAGCACCACAAGGACATCCAGCCTCTGCAGGTGGAATACTACCCGCCCAATGGCACCTTCAGTCTCCACTACTTCCCCTACTATGGGAAGAAAGCACAGGTGGGTGTTTCACTTTTCCCCTGACAACAGCCACTGAATCATCTTGAATTTAGCAGTGATTATTAGCAAAAGGAAAGCCTTTTACCTATAAAAATGAAACAAGGCATTACTTAACCCATCCTGACCATTTTAGCGCTCACGCTGTTTCCCAAACCCACATTTTCCTAACTACCTGAAAATACATTGTTCTCACACAAAATATATTAAATCTAATTTTTTGTCTTCAACAGCCTCCCAAATCCTGTTAGACAACTGTATGTCCATTTGAAAGCATTTCCTCTAAATCTCTTGCTTTTTTGTTTTCTTTTTAATTTTCACCAAATACAATTTGATGTTGACTTTGTATTGCCTGCCCCCTCCAGACCAATTCTTGTTTCTCAGCGGGTAGACACTGAACCCCAGTGAATTCCAGGGCACGTGGCAGAGCCTGCCTGAGCCGTTACACAGATCACTGCAGGTCTTACTCGGAGAGCACGAGGTTTCTGACACATCTCCTCTTCACGCCCTTCTGTTTCAGCCCCACTACAGCAACCCTTTAGTGGCCGCAAAGCTTCTCAACGTCCCCAGGAACACGGAAGTTGACATCGTGTGCAAGATCCTGGCAGAACATGTGACCTTTGACAACCCCCACGATCCCTTTGAAGGGAAAGTGGAATTCAAGCTTAACATTCAGAAGTGAAGGACCAAGGAGGCTGGCCTTAACCTGCACGGTAACTTGCAGACCTCCACACTCCAAAGGAGCTGCCCGCCGACTCTGCACTGCGCCAGCTCTCAAACGTTCTGAAACGCCAACACAAAGTCAGTTCGGTGACTCCAGACAGGTACCCATGTGTCAAGCACTTAGTGTTAGAATCAACTGTCTTACTAAGTCTTTATTGTTTTTAGATTGAATGTGTAGCTATGATAAAAATATTGAGTTGACATGGTAACCCTAAGGCAGAAGCTATCCAACTAACAAGACCCTAAAATGATTCATCTCTTTCTACACGGACATCACTTTTCTTACTATAACTTATTTTCTATACGTCAATGAACGACTACTCATGTTAATATAAATACTATTAATGCACTGATGTGGCAAATGACTTATGATAATGTACACTTTGAATGTTTGCTTTAAAGAATGCAATTCCTACTGTAAAAATACATTAAAGCCACTCTTCTACATAAAACAGTCATGCCTTTCCTGAAATGGGGGGTGGGGGAATCAACTGGAAAAAAAAAAAAAAAGCAAATGCCTCTTTCTTTAAAAATCTTTTTAAAGTTTCCATCGCAAGTCAAGGAAATTACAAAACCATGTAGGAGAGGGGCTATCAGCTGAGAGCAGGAGCAGTTCCAGGAGGTAAGCAGGTAAGACACAAGGGTGCCACCAATGTGACAGCATCTATAAACTAGAGGTGATCACACACAGTAGTTAATCTTCCTTTCACCAAGCACAAGTCCCTCCTCCAACACCCAGGAAGCCATGCGAAGTCTGCAACTCTAGGTCTTTTGAAAAAAAAAAAAGAAAATGAGAACATTCTGTGTGAACCAACCTGCTCTTACCAAGTGTCACCCACTTTTCACCCAAACCGTAGCTCCAGGTCTGAGTGCCCTCCTCCCACCTGAATACCATACGCAAGGTTGTCACCCGTAGAGCAACCCAGAAAGTTCCACACAGCTGCTGGATAGGAAATCTGTCCACCTGAAACCCAATCACAAACACTGTTTGAGGAGAGAATCAAAACCCTGTAGAGCCTTGGCCAGGTGGTATAGTGGGTTGGGCATTGTCCCACAAAGCGAAAAGTTGCCCGTATGATACCTGGTCAGGGCACATGCCTGGGTTGTGGGTTTAGTCCCTGGTTGGGGCACATGCAAGCAAGAGGCCTGACTGATATTTCTCTCTCTTTCTCCCACCCGTCCCCTCTCTCTAAAAATAAATAAATTCTTAAAAAAAAAAAAAAAAAAAAAAAAAAGGTTGCACATTCCATCCCTGGTCTGGGCACAAGCCTAGGTTGTGGGTTCAATCCCCAGCTGGGGTTCAGAAGGGAGGCAATGGATTGATGTTTCTCTCACTTCTCTCTCTCCCTCCCTTCCTCTCTAAAGACATCCTAGGGTGAGCATTTAAAAAAATACAACAACAACAACAAAGAAAAATCCTGTAAATACTGTAAGGTATTTAAATACAATTGAAACCTGTATTTATTAAGCATCTCTACTACATAAGACACTAGCAAGTGTTTCACTGCTGATACTAACAGTAAAAACTTTTGGAGGCACCTCAGAAATGTCATGTCACATGTCAGAGGTCAAGTCACCTCAGCTATGTCATGACAACTTAATGTTGGAGGTCAGAGGTCAGGTCTCCTTTCTTACCTTATGATCTCCTTTTTCGGAAAGTCAAATCCATAAAACTGGTCTCAACTTTTGAGGATTCAGGACAAAGTCAAGAAACAAACTCTCTCCCCACCACTGGCCACAGGAAAGAAGACATTGCTTTGGTCTCTGTCCACTGTGATATCCTTCTTTGGCCCCCGAAGTCCCTTGGGAAGCTGCAGGACAAGCAGAGGACCCACACTGGGGTCCCAACCCACTACTCCTGGGCCTGGCTGCCTCTCCTCACTCCAGCGAAAAGCAAGGCTAACAGGGTAAAATAATTTCTAGACAGTAATCCTAAATTAGAGAAACACAGAGCTTGTTTGAAATGCCCATGCGCGTTTTATTAATAAAAACTAACAGTGCCAAGTTAAACAAGTCAAACAATTAAAGTCTCTTTATATTCCATAAAATATTACAGAAAAGTTTATTTGTGTTTCAATAAAAAGACTATTGTTTTAGAACAGGCAGCTAACAGCAACTGTGCAGTTAATGGTTCTTTGTGAATAAATTTTAAAAGAAGCTACTGCCTGTCCTGAAATTCCTTTTTCTTTTTATAAAAAAAGAACTATTAAAAATGATTGACAAATTTTGAGTTAAAAAACTGTTAAAACATTCTCTATATTTAATTTCAACTTTATAATAGATTACAGGAAGATGCTTACGAAACAAATACAACATTTGTTTCAGTACATGTCTTTAAATGATAGACTTATAAGTATGTAAACAACTATATAATAAAAAGTTTCCAAACACTGCCTGTAAGAAATCAGGCAAATTTTACCATAAGCAATAAACCATTCCAAGACTTCCAGACACTTTTCAAAGCTGCACCAGCATGGCAGTAAACTTACCAAACAAACACAAACACAAAAAAAGAACTTTGCAATATGTTTGCTGCAACATGAACCAAAAAAAATAAAGAAAAAATATAAACTTAATGGAACCACGCAGTCAATATAACTTAAGGGAAAATAAGTCATAAGATTTATGGCGCTTAATGTTGAAAAGCAGAGCTCTGCCATTTGCTCGGTTCTGCAGACGCCACAGAATTTAACAAAACGAAACCCGTCCTGGAGCCTCACACTCCGCCAGCAGGTGGCGCCATTCACAACACGCTGTAAATGAACGGCATCTGGGGTGGCCTCAACAGGATGATGGTATTTTTTCATTGATGCAGATGGAGTACAGCTTCTTCAGCAAAGTCAGCAAGAAGTGTTACGGGGCAAAAAGGAACTCTGAATTTAAAAAAAACCCAAAAAACAAAAAACAAACAAAAAAAACCCAGAAATAAAAACACACAATCTTAAAAAGTAAATAAAAGCCCTGCATCGGCACACTGGAATCAACACACACTGCAGCCCGTCTTCAAAGACCCTACAGAGAACAACCCTCGCTTGCTTATCAGAGGTGCAGGTCAAATTCAATAGCTTACCAATATCCTCTTGGAAAGAGGCCAAAAGGAAACAGAAAAGCCCACATGAAAAAAAGTTTCTCTTCCCTAAACATGTTTTCCTGAAGCTGAACTTGAGGGGGAGTGGGGCCTGCGAGCGAAAACATCAGTCTTCCTCGTCATTATCGTACTCCTCGTCCTCATCGTCATCCTCCCCGACGTAGGACACGGGGGTCTCCACCCTGGACCCGCTGTACTGTGACCCGCTGGAGCTTGTGGCCAGCATCCCGTCTGCACCGTTGGTCAAGTCACTGCAAGGACAGGAAGGGACACGAGGGGGTCAGTGACGCATCCCTACGGCCCGCGCCAAAGACAGCCAGCGTTTCAGGGAGGAGTGGGCAGTTTCTATGACAGAAACACACACAGAACGTTTCACGCATCTGCAGTACAGAGTTCCGACACTGTTATTAGTTTCACCCTTTTCATATCCTCTTCCAGCTTTGTCCTCTTGAGCATAACCAGTAAAATGAGGGGAGAGTTGGCAAGACCATGATATTTAGTCTTTCCTCCCACTGACTATTACATCGGAGACAAGTCCCCGAGTGCACAAACTGAAAAGCCATTGCTTCCTTCTTTCTCATCCTTTTATTTATTAATCCCTTGATCTTGAGAAATGAGTCAGAAAATGATTGGGAAAAAGGGGCCCCAGGATGATATGGGACCCTCCAAAGCAAGGCTCCCTGTCAGCAGTGTGTGGGAGGGTACTCAGCAAGTTCTGTGCGCACGTGTGTGTGTACATGTGTGCACATGTGTGTGTCTAGGCTTTGTGTGTTACTGGGTTGAATGTGTACCTGTGCAATGTTACAGGCATGCGTTTTGTGCACGTACAGGCACATGTGCGTGTGTGCATGCATGTGTAAATAATGTCCCTAAGCCCCACCCTCAGCTCCCCTAGTGTCTGCAGAGAGCCCAGGAAGCTGAACTGTGAGGGGTGATTCTCAGGCAGATGCTCTCCCTGCAATCTATACTTCCAGGAAGGCTCCAAGGACCCACAGCCTTCTACAGTTTTGTGCAATGGCAGTCGCTGAAAAGTCAGTGAGGACAACCCTGGGCGGGGCCCAAGGGCCCAAAGGGGTAGGGGCGGAGCTGCAGGGCTGGGCTGCACAGCACCACGCACTGCTCCTCGGGCGGGCGTCTGCATTACGCTCCTGGGAATCTCAACCAGGAACATGTGAAAATCTTTGCTGTCACAATTGAGGGGGGTAGGTGGGTTCAGCCACCACCCAGCAACCCAACAACCCAGCACAAAGCGATTCAGACACAAAGGATTAATTGTTATCCTGGGGCACCAGCAGATGATGGCCCACACCGAGCACATGGAGGAGAGAGACAAGTGCACATTTCCACTGTGAGCGATTACTTGCTTGGGTTATAGTCAAAAGTAATTTCAATTTCTTAGTATTTGAGTTGAACAGCAAGAAAAGGTAGTCTCAGAAACATCAATATTGAAGGGATGCCAAACTGGAATTTAAAATTTGATAGCACCCAGATTCTAGACTCCGAGAAGGCCTCCTGTTAACACACGGAGGCTTGGAGTCAACCCCAAGAGAGGTCTCACACAGGAAATCCATTTACAGATAACAGACGTGAAAGGGTCAGAAGTGCACTGGAGATGTGGCCATTGAACACTTAAAAAAGAGGGAGTTTAGGGGGCACAAAATGATTAAGTAACAAGGGTTTCTTGACTTGGACAATATGGATCAAGACCCTAGAAAGTTTACAGCAGCACAGAAACCTACCCCAGGCCAGAGCAGCAATAAATTCCAACATTAAGAAATATTTTTATGAACATAAAACCACATGCATATTATTTTAATGCCTTTACTGGTATTTACTAACACTGTAAAATAAAAACTATTAAACATTGTACTCTGACAAAGTAATTCCATATCTGGAAAATCCAGCCTAATAAAACAAGTCAGGAAGGGTGAAAAACTTAACCATGAAGCTGCTCATTGCCGCTGTTCCTGTAACTGGGAACCAGCCAAATGTCCGACAGCAGAGGGCAGCCCCGTCGACCGAGGTGCCGCCATGAAATACCACACCACGCCACCGTCAATGGTGGCCTTCCTTCTGAAATGGCAGTGACTTTGCCTCCCTCGTTATAAAATCTGACATGAGTCTTGGAAAACTCAATCAGATGAAATTAAGAAAATACCCAAGTTCTACCTCTTGGAATAACCGAAGTTTGGTATTTTACACACTGACCTCTACATACACACACAGCAGAAGTTAGAATTAAAAGCTGAGCTGATCTCTGTCAAAACCCAACCGTGTGCCAGCACCCTATGGGGACGTCACTGCTTCACAAAGCCGTGGGTCCTCCCCCAGGGCTGGCCCCGGGACTTGGCACCCTCACCGCCCTCTCAGGGCCACACTGCGGCCTCGTCTGTGTCGCACAGAAACGCAAAGGGCCGTGTCTGACGGCCGCAGAGCACTGCATGGAAGGTGTGTGCACACTGCAGTTTATTCGATCATCCCATTTTGTTGGACCCCCAAGCTCCTAATTCATTATGTATTTTAAGAAATTAAACATTTATTAATACTTAGGATTAATAAAGTTCTATGTACAATGTATAATGTAATAGAAAAGTTAGTAAAACCATTGTTTTGTCAGTACTTACTGCTGACATTATCTTCTATTTATCTTTAAAAAACTAAGAGAAATACGTAGGGACAACATAAGTCTCTGCAGGGTGGTTAGTCAAAGGTTAAATACACATTGATTTAAATAATAAAGCTTCAATAAAAGAAAAAACACATACAATGGCAGGAAAAGTGAAAAAAGCAGGCAAAAAAATTATATATGTGCATTGTGATCACAAGTGTGTTATCAGGAACAGAAAAAAAAAATGACTGAGAAATACTGTCACTTAGGCTGCCGGCAGTGGGTTCAGGCGGTTTCTGCCTCCATTTTTCACGGCATGTGACTATTTAAAAACTAAAGGCCATGTGTTACTTTCAATTTTTAGGGTGAAGAAACCAGTAAGAAAGCTTCTTTCTACACAGGGGAGTCTGGTTGTGTGAAGTGTCCTCAGGTTGGGGAGAGAGGCTGAAGCTGCTTCCAGGGAGGGGTCCTGCTGTCTGAACAGCAGAGGAACTGAGGCTATTTCTATGAACACTGCGGGGGTGCTTCCTGTTGCCACGTGACAAGGTGGCCCCCCTGCCCACCCACCTCAGCCCAGAACTGCAGTCACCTGGCAGAAAGCCTTGTGCCGTTAGAGGTCGAAACCGATGACGTGACGAATACACTGCTGAGTGATCCCTGAGCCATTTCTGAAAAGAGAAGATAAAGCAAAGGTCACGAAGCAGGCAGAGAGGCACTCGCGCTGAAACAAGCAGGCCCGGGGCCCGGACACCTCCGATCCGCCGAGCGTTTTCTGCGCCAGGCCCTGCCAGAAAGCAGCCCTGCTCATCCAGTGCCCGGCCATGGGGCCGGGCCACTGAGGAAGGCACGGGAGACCCTAATTTACATGTAGTCACCAATGACAGCAAAGGTGCCACTGAAACTTCATGTCGTCGCAAAGCAGAAAGCGGGAACTGAGAGGGAGGAAGACCAGCAGCCACTCCGTCTGGGACACAGCGGTCTGCGCCCAGGGCAGTGTGGAAGGCAGAGGACTCCAGTGACGCATCAGCCTGGGTGTCCTGGCAGGCCAGCCCCTGGGGTCGGGGCGGGGGAGGGGGGGCGGGATGATCTGCGGTCAGGTGCCCGCTGGTTCTGGACACTCGGCGCCCGGGGTCCAATCCAATGCTTTGGCTCTTGGGGAGTAAATCCACACCACAAAGTGGGACAATGACGGCAGCTTTTTCTCTTCGCAAAGCCCCTTTCCATCTGTGGCCAGGATCGTTCTCAGCAAAGAAGTCCCCAGAATGAAAGTCAGAGAACCCGAGCAAGAGCTCACCAAGCAAATGCTTCCTCGCTCTGGCCCTGAGTAACTGGCTCAGAACATCAATATTCTTGGCTACTCTGCTGCAGGGACCAATCAACTACCTCAGAAGAAACGCCCACACCTATTAGACACCTCGAAGAATTTTTATCTCTTCCTTTTGGGGACCCTACCTGGAAGCTGGAATCATGACCTAACACCTTTATCATATAAACTGCATGGACAAAGCCATAAAATGCCACTTACAAACTCCACTGACCACATGTCCCAGGGGGCAAGGGCCCCCGCCAGATGGCCATCCGGCCAACAGCACCCACACCTGCGGTCCCCAAAACCATCTCACTCCCCACTTGTCCTTGCTCTTGGTGCTGCACGTTTGAGCCAGCCTTGGCAGAGGAAGGTCAGATGCCCAGGGACATCTGCAGATGCAGTGTTACTCGGGACGACTCACCTGTCACATAGGGTTCCAGTGCTTTCGGCACCAAACTTCTTGCCATTTTCAGGTCTTCAGCAGAGCAGCTCCCCGATTCCAGCCCATAGGCCATCCCCATGCGCTTCAGCACTTCTATGTCATCATGGATTTCAAACGTGTTGTCAAAATTGAACAGGTACTCGAATCTGGAGGAGAAAGTCCCTGTTAGAAAAGTGCCATCTTCAAGACAGGGACAGCTGCACGTGGTTCGGGAGTCCAGCCCCTCCCTCGGGTGCCCTCCCATCAGGGGTCTTCCCAGATTCATCGCCTCAGACACCATGGCCCCGGAGACTCGGGCAGCATCGCCGACCAGCGCCTGCGCTCGGCGGACACACCCCGGCACGCAGGCCGCGCCCCTCAGGCGGCCAAACGCTGTCCCCTAGCTGCGCTGTGTCTGAACAGTGTCCTAATAACAATCCTAAGAGTGTGATGTATTTTCCTTTTGAAAGAGAGATGCATAACGAGGGGAAGGAGAGGCAAATTTCTGAATTAATTATGCCAAAAGACCACATTGAATAATTATAGATACTTGTATAAATAAATTAACCAGCCGTAGCAGCTCTGACTATGGCATTCTTCACTTCTGACCTAAGACTCCCAGCTGAGACCACGGGGCACTGGACAACCTACTACCTACTTGTCGTTAGAAATGCTGCAGTCGATGACGGTCTTCTTGCTGGTGTTCACGATGATGAAAGGCAGGTGGATGACAGAGTTGGGCGGGGGTGGCCGGCTGGCCTGCTGCTCTGCCTGGCGGTTTCTCTGCACCAGATTCTTGAAGGCAATTTGCTAAAAAAGATGAGCCATCAACACACCACTCATATCAGTTGCCACAAAACCTAACACCTTCTCCCCAGGCATCTTCAACAACGTTCCCTGAACCCCACAAGACAGCAAGAGGGTGTGGGCTCTCTTTTGGAGAGCAGGGCAAACAGCTGAGGGGCTGAAGTCCCCAGTGAGCCACCCAGCAAAGAACACGCATCCTGAAAAACCAAGTGCCCAGAGAAATGAGACTGCAGAGATGCAGGCACTCACCCCGTAGACAGAAACACCCCCGCAGAGGAGGATGAAGAGAAATGCATCGATTCTGGAGGTCACGCCCTCGCCCTCCTACCCCTCCCCGGGGAGGGGTCCGCGAGTGCCCATGCCTGTCCCATCCACAGGCCATGGCCTTAGAAGGCAGACGTTCAGCGGTGGGCCTGTAGCTTCCCGGGAAAGCAGAAACGCTCCGTGGACCTGCTGGTAAGGGCGTCTCCTCTGGGGACATGGGTCCTCAGGGCTACAGCCAGAAAGCCAGGGCCTCGGGCCCTGAAAGGACATTTTCCTTCAAGGTAATTTTCTTGCTGTTAATGTAAAGGCAGAAAGCTTCCCTCCTCACCAGCCAGCCTTCTGCCAAGCTGCGCAGTGCTGGGACCCAGGAGCTCAGGGCTTAGTGGGAGAGAGGCAGTGACCTGGGCTTTTTAAGGTAGTTATGATGCACTATGAATGCAGAAAAAGGGAACAACTTATTCTAAAGGGGCAACTGAGCAGAAGAACTTGGAAGTCGGGAGGGGCCACAGCCTGAAGCAATCTCCCCTCCCAGCAGGAGCTGTGACCGTTTACTGCCCACCTTGGCTCTGTGACCACATCATCCCCTGCCAAAGCACCCCCTCAGCGGGTCCCCCAGGGAGAGGGGCACTGGAGTAACTGAGGCGAGGGTAAGAGCCCCACGCACAGCGTGTCTGGCCTGGGTGAGACACACCCCACGTGCAGTGGTCCCCAGGCTCCGCTGGATGCTGGGGCAGGAGTCCCAAGACCCACAGCGACCCCTCCTGGCCTTTTCCCATTTTCTGAGATCTCCTAACCTCCATAGCTAGGCCTGTCCTCAGACCCCCGTGCTTCCTCCCAAGGGTCCTGCTTGCCGCCACAGCTTCTAATGCCCCCGACTCTCTGGTTTTTGGACACAGGCCCCCAGGGCTCCCCAACAGCCTCCTGCCTGACCACAGGGCCCACAGCCTTGCTACCCATGGGGTCCACAAACATCTCAATAAATTGCTGCTGAGACACCCTTCCCTTTACTGACGAACCACCACTTCTGCTGGCAGCTGGTCACATGCCCCAGGCGGCGGCCCCAGCGCAGTGCTGCCCGTGTCCAGGGACAAGTCGCTCCCCCGCCACCAAGATCCTTAGATATGTTTGCGTATTTGCTTCTAACCTAGAACATGCACCCCCAGGTCCCTACAGCAGTGAGGTTGATGCTCATGGATATCTCTGCAGGCCCAGGGGATGGCAACACAGCTCACCGCCCCCATGTGTCTGAGAGGACAGGGACTGGGTGCACTGACACACGTCCTCTGACCACGTGTGCTGACCTCTGGCCAGTCACTGCCAAGACCCGCCTCAGGCTCCCTCTGCACTTCACCCCCCGAGCCCGGGGTCTGGTGCTCAGAGCACACTTTGTACTTGCCCCAGAGAATTTTTACAGGCTCCTTCCTAAGGGGACATCCCTCCTGCCATTGAGACACTGTGACTCGTGATGCACACACTCACATGGTCACGCTCACACACGCATGCTCATACATGTGCTCTCACACCCTCGCTTTCTGGCCACAAGGCCCAGGTCCATGGGAGTTCATGTCAACAACTTGTACAGAGAATGAGCCCAGTGAATAGTTATGACATTCAAATTCAAAAAATCTCAAAGTAGAGATTTTATTTACCACGTACGAACAGAATGAACTGCAAGGTAACTGCTGTTGAGGAAGAACTAAATTAGTAGACGATACTAAAACTACCTTGCCTCCAAATAAGTAATTCTTTACCTGTAGAATAAGTTCTTGAAGTTGAGACTGTTTCTGTTTTATTCTTTCAAGTCTTCTTTGTCTCTCTACCTTCAAAAATGAACCATCAATACAAGAAGCCATCACAATTGGTTTAATATAGAAAAGTTTAAAACCCGTATCAACACAATGTCACCTAAGTAGGCTCTTGCAGAAAATGTCTTCCCTGGATCTAACGGTAGGGAAACAGACCAATCTAGAACACAGCACATGCGGCAAGACACAGGCAAGTTTTTCTTCAATCCCCAATCTACATACACTTCTGTCTTTGCTCATTTTCTGCATATGGTTATATATTTTAAAAATCCCACAAGACAGGAATCAGAATTTGCCTACACTGGAGTTCACTGCCCTTGCCTGGCCCCACCGCCTCCGCACCCACGGTGAGGGTCTGCAGAGCCCGCACCGACTGGACCGTCCACCACCGTCAGGTGGGGAAGGACGGGCCTGATGAGAAGCTTTGCAATACAGGACAAACCTGTCCACCTGGTCCAGTCCGGGCACAGGTACCTTAACAGGTACCAACGTCGTCAACAGAAATGGCTGCTCTGGGGCGAATCTACATGGACACACGAACATAAAAGATTAGTGGTGTACCTCTAAATTCTGACATTCCTGAGCTGAGTTGGTGGGCAAACCGATCCATTTGATTTCCTTCTTCTCCTTGGAGATGATGTTCATGGCCATCAGCACATTTAAGGCATCATAGACTCGCCGTCTTATGTTCTTCTGGTCATAAGCCTGAGGAAGATGAAGTGAGGGTTTTCCAAACAAGCCAGGACAGCTCTTAGATCAATGTGAAACGTCAGACCCTGAACACACTCAAGAAATATACCATCAGCTGCCTCGTGTGGTGCAAACCCATTGCAGCAGCTGCTGGCGTCACTCCTAACACATCTCCACTGAACCAGCCAGTGCTAATCAGGCAGCCAAGCCAGGCCAGGGGGTACTTCTGCATGAGGAGGTCGCCCAATGGGCAGAGCCAGAGCACATGCACAAAAATATTTAGGGATGATGGGGCATCATGTGCACAAATGGGTCAGGAAAAATTCCTCTGTCCTGTTCTCAGAACTTCTCTATTTAAGCTGTTGCAAATAAAAACAGAGCGGGCGGTGCAGGGCTGGCACGTTCTGCTACTCCTGGCCTCTCCCACGCCCCGTGCCACATATACTCACGGATTCGTTTGGTAAGATGTGATTATCGGCAGCACTGAACTCTGCAACCAGCTCGTCGGCCACCTCGTTATAGGATGTGGTTCCCTTCCTCTGCACCTTCTCACAGACCTTCATGGAGAAGTGCCTCAGGCCCTTACCGTTCTTCTCTCCTTTCCTGTTGCGTTTCCTTCAAAAATACAAAGGGGAAGTAACAGCTTTAGCATTCCAAGAGCCAGCCTTGAATTAAAGACACACATTTACCTACAAGGGCTAACAAACTACACAAGGGTCCCGAGTCCCGTGGGTGCTGGAGCTCATGCAAACAGGCTACGGGGAACCTGGCTCCTTCTCTGAAGAGTACACTCAGCACCATCAGTGGGTGTTCAATGTTTCCTTTCTCTCCTTCAAGGCCAGACCTCACATGTGTACCTTCTACTCTCAGGAAAAAATAGGGCATACACCCAAAGGGACAGGACCCAGTACATATTTGATGGGCATCGATACACTAAACACTGCTTCTTAAAAAGATGTTGACCGACATCAGGAATTATGAGAGTTTTACAGCAAACCTAAGGACTTTCTAGGGCAAATTTGAGTGGCTGACAGAGAAGGTGAGGCCGAGACCTTGACGGCCACACAGCAGCAAGTGCCAAATGCTGAAGACCACAGTGCGCTCCAGATCAGGAGTGAACCCAAACGCCTGAACTTTTAAAGTCACCACATCCAGGAAAGGGTTGCTCTGAGTTTCTAACTGGATGAATTTTGGGAACTGATGATTTTTGCTTGAGAACCAATATAGACATGATTCCATAGCTTTGTTTTTGTTAGTTTTTAAAGAAAGTCGCACAGCTGACCTTCAAGTAAAATCATTTTCAAGTCGGTTTGCTTTAGTGGAAGAAAGGATCGAAGTAACTGCGGTGGGGGCCATCCAATGGGACCACCACCATGAAATGGCAAAGCTGCATTTAGCTGCAGCGGGCGAAGCTGCTGTGAGATCCATCCCACTTATACGTTATTTCCTAAAAGCCACTTTCCAGTGCAGACAATGGACAAAGTTACCACTGTGCTGAAAAGCCAGCTCCCTCCTCTTCTTCCGCCAAGAGCTGACCACACCTTATAAGTGTAGCATATCCATCATCCCGACTACAGGGGGCAGCTCTCCCGCCCTTTACAGTATGACCATCACCGCCCAAAACTACAGGGGGGCAGCTCTCCTGCCCTTGGAGTGTAGCCCTCACTCCGAAACTACAGGGAGGGCGCCTCTCCCACCGCCTGACCTCCTTTACGAGGAACAGCATGACGTAACTCCACATCTCTTATGGGCACGCAGTGGACATTTTCCATCACCTAGCAGGACGATCAGCCCCGGTGACCACAGAGAGCTAGGGGGTTACAAGTCTAGGCAATGTGCTCACCCGGCAGACCAAGGTGAGGGGTCTGAAGGCTGGTTCTGTGAGACAAAGTGAGTGTTAGGGGTGTGTGGGCTTCCTACCACGATAGTGTTTGGCGCTGCAGGTCTCTGAGGCGTACCAATTACCTACAGTCAAAAAAGACAATTCAGAACACAATCAGAAATCTCCCACATATGATGCTGCCATTTTATCATTTCTCATTATCTACAGCCACTGTTGAATTTTATTAACCACAAATATCAGAACCATGACAATGTGAGTAACCCAACAGCTGACCCTTTGAACTATGAACGATAGGGCCGCACCTATTCTGAACGTGTCTTTATTTCCCTTCATCAACCTCAGGCATCTTCTCCAGTTAAACAAAAGCAGCAGGAAATGTCAGACAATGCACACAAGCCCAACAGAACAGCGCACACTTCTGGGGGCACGTGAGCCTCGATGAGGTAATAGTGGTGGGGCAAATAAATCACCTGTCCCAGGTACAGGATTCTCTGGGGGACTCAGCACATTTCTCTTTTTCCTCTTGCCCTCTTTACTTCCCTTTTAATGATATAGAGAAGGATAAAAATCTATCCTTCAGTGGCACTAAAATGAGGCCAATAAACAAACAGAAAACAGCTCTCAGAACAAAAGGAACACAGGGCGAGACTCCAGTGCCCCCATCAGCTTGACCGCGAGCGGGAAGCCCATCACGATGGTGGCTTTGTGGGGGAAACCCAGGTACCCCAAACAGCACAGGGCAGGGGGAAGAGAGGAGATCAGCACAGAGAGCGAAGGCCAGGGGCTTCACTGCCCGCAGCACAGCCCGGGCCCGGCAGAGCTCTTGGGTGGCAGGGCCAACACGCCCCTCGTCGGCTGCCTGAGCGCTTAACCCATCTCTTCACCAGAGGAAGGGAAACCTTACTTTGTCTCTCGACAGCAAGCACTTAGAACTTTGGTCCCATCAATTAATATTCAAATATTAATATGGGGGACACAAAGACTTTGCCTTGTACAGACAAATAAAATTCCAACTTCTCCAACAAACATTTTATGATCCATTTATATGTGGAATCTAAAAGAACAAATACATAAACAAAACAAGCAAACAAACGCCCCAAGCTCAGAGGTATAGAGTGGGCAAAATGGGGGAAGGGGGTCACAAGGTACGAACTCCCAGCTATAAAGTTAGTAAGTCGGGGGGTAGGACGTACAGCGCAGCGACTGCGGTTCCTAATGATGTGCTGCACATCTGAAAGCTGCTAACACAGGGAACTTTAAAAGTTCTTGTCACAAGAAAAAGTCTTCTAAACATGTACAGTGATGGGTGTTAACGAGGCTTATTCTAATGATCACTTCACCGTTGTATACAGGTATCACATCATTATGTTGCACACCTGAGCTTACATAATGTGGTATGTCAATTGTAGATCTATTAAAAATAAGATAAAATTTCAGTTTTTCAAAGATCTTGCCATGTGACTCTACTTATACTGATTAAACTGACCCAGGAAATTCTTCAGAAACACTATTTCTCAGTTACTACACAGCCAAGTGCCTCAGAGACCTAAGGTCACTGAACGTGTTAACATCGGGCACCCAAACACTAGGGCAGCCCCACCCGAGGGCAGAGGGCAACCTGCGGCCTCAGGGACTGGCTGTGGCCACCGCCTGGCTATTTTAAGCTGGACATTCCCTCTGGTCCCTTCTTAGTGGGATAAGTGTGTCACCTGCCATGGCCATGGGACAGCTGACCCGGCACTTTGAAAATTATCCCTAAGCCCAGGTCACCTGTCAAAGTTAATGATCCACAAACCATGGAAAGAAAATAGCTCAACTGAATTTTATTCTTTTAATTCACATTTCCAGGGATAAGAACTTCATCACAGTGTTTTTCAAACTGTAGATCACTGTGTTCCGAACGCCATGAAATCAAATCAGCGAATTTTCTGGAAAATGAAACAGGGCAGGAAAGAGGACTGATCTCCCAGAGGGGAGGAATGCCTCGTAAAACTCTCGTTTCTGTTAAATACTTGCGTGCACCTCCCACTTACAGGGCACGGCGTCCCAGTGGAAAATGTGCGCCTGCTCAAGCTCGTGGTCCAGTTTGGGAAACACAGGGACCTGTCACTCGCGGCACTTGCCGGTGGCACATTTTCCTGGACCCGACTGGTTACGTCCCCGTGAGAGCAGATTTAGTGTGCCAGCACACCCCACGTGGGTGGGCACCGTGGGACTCACCGCCCCTGCACGCTGCAGCTCTGCTCGGAAGGCAGCCACCTAACTTCGGGGTCAGTGCCCCAGCGGACACTCGGCCTGGGCCCTGAGACAAATGCCCGCTCCCTAAGCTGTGCCTCTTCCTTAGTCCATTTGTTCTGCAATAAGAGGGCCAGGCACACAGCAAGTGCTCAATAACTGCTCTCTGTAAAAGCAGCCTTAAGATGCCAGGGCAGGTGAGCAAAGAGGGCTGCTTGTCCCCACTGGCCACCACCCACGCCCTTGTGGAGGAGTGGAGGCCACCAAGAGCTCAACGGCTTCAGGTTTCATCTCTTTGCTTTTTTATTTTCACTATTTACATGGAAATTTTGCCCTGTGAGAAATGCCTCCATCTGAGCTGTGAGCTGAATACCCAGACCACTGATCAAGTGACACGGGAAGACCTAACAAGGCCCAGGTTAGATTTTCACTCACATGAAGATGAAGCTTCACCTCACATGTCAGAATCAGCCAGTCCTCTAATTTCTAATCCTTTTGTATATAAAGTTTTAAGAGACATAAGCTTTAATTCACAGTACTGGGATTTTGCAAAGAATGAATTACCATTACTAACTCCACCTAAAAGAGCTTGATTCAAATCAATGATTTGACTTTCAGACTGACAGAGTTAAGGTGCACCAACAGAAAAATCTCCCCATAATCTCCTCCCATCTATTTACACTTGAAATAAAAACAGAACTGTTCCTATAATCAGTGAAGTATTCCCAAGCCAAATTCTGCTATAATACACAGTAACTATAAAATATGAAATATAAATTAAAACGTAAAATGGAATATGTAGCTTGTATCAGAAAGATATTCACTGAAAAACTATGATGTGACAAATGTAGTCTGTATACGATTGCTCTGGAAAAAACCACAGCTGTTCTGCTAAGCAAACGTGGCCACATTTTACTGAAAAGGGCTACGCGGTAAGGAGCAATCATACACCTGCCGAGTGTGGTCACCTGGAAACAGGGCCTGGGGTGTGAACAAGCTTGGATCGGTGGTAACGCCTTTCTCTTCTCATGGGGACACAGGGCCCAGGAGTAGGAGTGACTTCAGCCTAACCAGAGTCACGAGGGGAAGAGATTTGCTAACCATGGGGGGTGGGAGGGGCCCCATGGTCTGGGAGTGCAGACCCACCTCTGCCCCGCTCCTGGCAGAACTGCTGAAGGCCAAGGACACACCTGCCGTGCAGCACCCTGGCAGCCTGCAGAACCCTAGCCCCATATGACCTGCACACGAACACCACCCCCCTTTCCCCCGGCAGGTAACATCGCCCTAAGCAGCGTCAAAGCCAAGGTGCAGCGAGCCCCCACACAACTCCGCACTGCTCCACCAGAGCCCTCCACGTCAGACCTAAGAAGCCTGTCAGGGCAGACTGAGGACCAGCAGGAAACACACAGCGACACGGGAAGCTGCCTGGCCTGGCGGAGTCCCACAGCCGGGGGCAGAACACAGAAGCGCCGGGAGACCACCTGCATGCACGCTAACCACAATGCTCCTGAAATCTCTGAGGAAGGCGACTGTCCCAACCCCGCAAGCACTCAACAGGACACTGCGAAAGCAAACCTCACACTCCAAACTGCAAGCTGGAACCTAAGGGTCACTGTCCCGAACCCACAAGCCCACCCTACCCGGGGCCCCTTACCACTTGTTGTGCAATGTTGACATTGGACTGTCCGAATGTTTTTGGCAAGAGCTGCTTCCCAAGCGTGTTTACAGTGGAGGGGTGAACAGCTACTAAGGACACAACACCTGCAACACAAGGAAACAAGAGGTTAGTTCTTTGCCGAATTAAGGCTAATCGTGAGTTTCAGGACAATGATGCTTCTATTTAGGTCTTACTTTCCCCACTGTTACTCTATTAGATCTAAGGGTCTATAATACACGCCTCTACTAAGTTTAATTCTTGACTGAAGAATTAAAGACTCCTTGCTCGCCCACACGATTAGCCCCGTGCTGGGGCCGGGGGCTCAGGTGCCGCCAGGCATTAGCACCAGCCTGCCCCAAACCCCTGTCTGTCCATCTACAGAATGTTCTGATGGGACTACAGGCCTTAGAAATGACTCTTAAAAGGCTGTCCAGTGGTACCTCAGTACTCGTCATTAATTCATTCTGGAACATGTGACATGTGCTAAAGCTAGTGAGTACTGAACGAATTTTTCAAGCAACAAGTGATGAAGCATGTGCTCTTCCAGGGTAGTGTTGTAACTCATGCAAGTTCTAGCAAGTGCCACGAGTCCCCAGCAAGTGCCAAGTGCTGAAATATTTTTTTTCTCAGCAAAATACAATGAGTGCAGGGTTTGACGAGTTCTGAAGCCGACAGGTACTGAGGGACGACTGTAATTCTATGACAATTACAGACTAGAATGTCCTCTGTGAGAACTATGTTGACTCCGGGGCCATCACCACATGAGAAAAGGAGAAACCCCCATTCTGGCCATGTCTCCCTAAAACCCTCCCGGTTCCTCTGAAGCAGACGGGCCAACAGCAGGGTGCGGCGGTCCTCCGCTTCCACCTGGGCCAGCGTGGTGACGGCCTCCAAATAACCAGGAAGGTGCCATCTTCAATTTAGCCTGGTCTAAGGTTTCATTTTTGAACCCTTTCAATCCACGAATTTTAAAGAACAGAATTCTTCAAAATTCAACAACCAATGAATGAATTTTGCTGCCACATACAAACACAATAACTTCTCCTTAATAACCTAAGGTGACCAAGACAGATATTCATCCTTCAAGTAGCTAAATATGAGTATTTAACTAACAGTAACAGATATTTAAATTATTTTCTGTAAAAAAGTTTATCTGCTTTGAAGTCTCTGTTTTCCTCTAAAAAATAGAAGTCTACAGGGTGAAGCAAAAGTGGGTTTACAGTTGTAACTAGGCAAAACACAATTTATTCTTGTATTATTATTTATTATTGTATTATTTTCCATACAAACAACTGTAAACCTACTTTCGTGCCACCCTGTGTCTCTTCACAAAAGCAAATATTTTGAAAATTGTTTTAGGTATGTTAAAGATATCTCAAAAGATAAAAATAAAGTTATTCTACTTTACAGTGAGACTTCAAATACAATTTTTTCAGATTCAAATATATATTAGTAAATAGTAAGTTTCCAGGGATACTGAATTGACTCATTAAAAAAGGTAACTTTTTTTTTTAGTTTGCAAGTGATTCTCTAATTTTCAATGAATTGGAAGAAAGAAAACAGACTTTCTTTGAGCTCAGAGCTTACGGAGCCTCTGTCAAGAGGCCAGGCAGTTCTTATAACAATTTTAAAGCTTGTTTTGCACATCAAACCTGGGGAAGTCAACACGTCCCCAGACAGGACCAGGTGGCCATTTCCTATGGCCAGACCCGCAGGTCCAGCCACAGCACCTGCCCACGACACGGGACAGCACAAACCGCCAGAAGCGCAGCTGCTATCTCTCCCTAAAACAATGCGCTCAGAGCCCCGGCCTGGGGCTCCCACGTCACACCCAGCTGGGGAAGTGAGGAGCGCCTGGGGACGTCGGGGTGCCGGCAGAGCCCCGAGGCGGGTGGGCGGCCGGGCCGGGCCGGGCGCTTCCATCTGCTCGCTGTCGCCATCTGTTGCTCCCACCACGGCTTCTCCCTTGAGTCTTTATTGAGTAAGTAACTTCGAATGTAAAGAATTGTTTTTGCAAACAGCCTTACTCCTAGAATTACGCCTAGAATTAACTATTATTACCATTTTATTGTATTTGCTAAAGAGACTTGAGCAGTAGAGCTAACCTTACAGGCCCAGACCAGCCCCGCCTGCAACTCGTGCTGCTTGACAGAAGCATTCGGTCCGTTCTTCATACTTCCCAGGCATGAATCCAAGCACAACGTAAATACTGTCTGGGTGGATCTTTAAAATTTAGAAAATGATGTATACTGAACAAATTCTGCAACTTTGTTTATGTTGGTTTTAAGACTTATCCATAGAGAAATCTACTTGGTTTTCTTCAATGCTGTAATGCTATTCCATTATAATATTAAATAGATGTTGTACTAAAATACTCTCAATATGTTACTACTAAAATGCTGCAGTTACATTGGGGGGCCTCCCACTGCTGAGTATGGATTCCTCCCAGGCACTTTCCCTCATGCAGATGCACCAAAGGCAACCTAGGCCCCAGGTGACCGTCTGGTTTATGGGATTCAGCACAATACCTCCACGTGGCTGTTCTGCACGCACCACAAATACGTACACGCAAACACACACACCACATGCACACACCCCCAAGCTGTTGATTCAGTAAGACTTGTCACTCTTTGTCTTAAGAATGAAATGTTATTTCATTTTTTGTTTAATCTAGCCTTAGGAATTAAACTGCTTAACACATTTTTCTGATAAAGACTGCCATATGCAATTTATTTTTTGCAATGAGGGGACTAACATTTCAGTTATGAGATGGGTTAAATTATAACCCAGCCTGGGAATCTAGTCACTAGAAATAATAGTGTTTCAACTGTAAAATGTACTACACAGCCTTTTTTAAAGGAACTCTATAACAAGATATTGTCAAATATAACATTATAAAATGGAGAATTCTTCCTTGGCAAGAAAATGTGTTAAGAATATACATGGTCTGAACTGCTATAAGCATTAAAAAATAGAATTTAAAAATAATATATAAGGATATTTTTATAATTAGTAATCACTTTATTTATATATATATAGGTTTAAGATACGTTAAATTATGAAACCATAAGTTTTAGTGTTTTAAGATACCTTAAATTATGAAAACATAAGGTTTAGTGTTTTCTTGAAAATCATCTTAACCACACAATTTAAAGTTTTCAGAACCTAATGTTTTAAGAGTTATTATTTTGTCCACAGTGCTACAGATATTTTTCTTATTAATACGGCCAAAAGGGCCACTAATGGGCCACCTTGCCTGCTGCACCTTCCCGGTTCTGGCATGAGTGAGAGCAGGTGCTGCCCACAAGGGGCATCGGTGGGCACTGAACAGCCAGAACAGCGTTCTTCCCAGTTCTCCAGCACCGAGAAGGAGCTTCCTTCCTGGGCCATCACAGCACCCACACCCGACCCACCCACATTCGCTGCTCGCCAGCCAGCACGTAAGCCTGGGAGAAGTGGACTCTGCGGAAGCTCCTCGGGGGCCCAGGCTGAGCTGCCCACGGCCCGAGGGCTGCCCTCCGGCAGTACGAGCTGGGTCAGCCCGGGCGACTTCCACGCCGCTTCCCCACCGCACAGCAGACCTTCCGCTCCTTGGTCAGCATTTAACTGAAGAACAGTCACCACCTCGTGGCCAGGGGCAAGGTTCCCAGGGCAGGATGTCACGACCATACTGTAAACATTCTTTGCGTTAAAACAGAGGACAGGAGGAGAAAACAAGCTAATGCCTCTGCTCCACGTTCCCCGGGAGGACAGCCATCGGAGGGGGCTAACCAAACGCTCTGCCACTTCCCCCTACAACTGGGCTCCCCTCCTAACCACTGCAGAGAGGCCAGTTTGAAATTACCCACCGTGCGTGTATGTGTGTGTACAAATGTGTGCATTTGGGAGGTTATAGTTACCACATCTCAAGAATTACAAAGTAATACTCAGTCTTCAGCCACATCTCACTGCTAAATTTTCAACGTCCTACCTTAGAACCCTAATGCTGAAAGACAATATTAAAGCAGAGGGAAAATGACGTGCGCCACAGGAGAACGTCCTCCTAGCAGGTAGACACAGACATGGTGCAGGAAGCGATGATCCGGGTTAAAACAAGAGCACGTGGATCCGGGCCTGGCCTCCCAGGAGCTGACAACAGTGACCTACACACACCTAGCACACAGGGCCCTGGAGCGCCTTGGAGCAATCCAGGAGGAAGACAGGTTTACGTGTCAGTAATCCATCAACAGGTTCGCGCTCTCCATCAAAAAGGTGCCAGGTAGTAAAAGGGGGCATTAGAAACTGACAGGAATGGCCCGGCTATAAAAAACTGAAGTTCCACAACAGCATGGAGAGGATTATCACATGTCTCAAAGCAGTACCTGCAGGGATACCAGGTGTAGAAAACTGGTCCCCAAAGAGTACACGTACATTTAAATAGGTACAGTCGGGGGTTTTCAGTGAGCATATATTATTTGTGTGATAAGTAAGGACTTTCCATCAGAGAAGACAGGAAGCACGATGAAGTGCAGACAGAGACACAGAGCCAAGAAAGGGCACAGCTGAGCTGCGCTCCAAGGCCAGGTCCACGCAGACGACGCGCAGGGGGCGGGCAATTACGAAAAGCGTTGTGTGGGCGCCTGGGTGATGGGGGAAGGCTACCTAAGCCCCATCACCGTTTGGCTAGAAGACAAGACCCCAGTAAGAACCGTGAGAAACAAAGGGGAGAAGATCAGCCAGGCCAGGAACTCATCCAGGTGGAGGTGTGGCACTGGGGGGCGGGGCGGGGGGGTTTGTGAGAATGGCCTTCATGGACGGGCACAGCACCCGGGCAGACTCCCTCCAGCAGTGTGAGGCCACAGGAAACAAGGGAGTTAGAGGAAAGATCGATTAGGACACATGAAGTTGAAAACACTGATGACACCACATGCTGGTGAGGACATGGAGCAACTGGAGGCAAAACGATGCAGCCATGCACATTTGGCCTAGTTTCCACTCCTAAGCGGCTGCTCAAAGGACCAAAACAAGTGTGCGTGCAAAGGCTCACACAGTGTTACGGCCATGAGCAAACAACCAGAAGCAACCCAGATGGCTGTCACAATGAAACTGCACAGAATCTACTGTCTAAAACTCTGTACTCGGGCTCTTGTCTTTGGGGCCTGCAAATGTAAAGACTGCGTGTTCAGTGCATTTTTCTGGGGGACGGGGGTCGGGGGGGAATAGAGCTTTTTGAGTCTCGAAGGATCTGATGGTCAACTTTATGTGTCAGTTTGCCAGAGAACTTACTAGTCCCCAGTTACCCAATCAAACACCAGCCCAGGGGCTGCTCTGGAAGCTCTTTGTGGACATGGTGAGCATCGACAACCGTAGACATTAAGTAAAGGAGAACCAGCAGAACCAGCTGAAGGCCACAGAGCAAAACCTGAGGTTTCCCTGAGAAGGAATTCTGCCTCAAGACTGCAGCCCCAGCCCCTCCGGGTTTCCAGCTCCTCCCTGTTTCCAGCCCCTGCAAATTTCAGACCTGCCAGCCAGTCCCACATCACACAGGCTGACTCCTTGAAGCAAACCTCTTCCATGTACGTTACATGCTTTCCGCCAGCTCTGCCTCTCTGCAGAGCTCTGGCTGATACAGGGGTCTGGAAACACAGCAGCAAGAAAAGGAGTGATGTAAGTGGCCAGGAGCAGGGTGGTGCAGGGAGGCAGCGACTGGGAGCCGAGCTAGGACAAGAGCCCCAGTGGTGCAAGAGCAGGAGTGCAGCAGGACCCAGCTGCAAGAAGCGCGTCGAAGCCAGACTCCAGGAGGCGCAGACAAGGGGGAAGCTGGATGTTGGGTCGGCCTCATTACAGGATGTTGCAGGTTCTCAGCTCAGAGCAGCAAGGTTCCCAAGCAGTGGCAATACTCAGGCAGTGGCCTGCTGCTCCTGAACTCCCAGTGAGTGGGCCTGCAAGCCACGGTGAACGAGCCCCACAGGCACAGGGCACAGGGCGGAAAGCAAGGCCAGTCCTGCCGCTGATGGCCAGCCTCCATCCTGGCCTGGACCACAGTCTCGTCCTCAGGCCCAGCCCATCCTCACTACCCGAACCCCCACAGTGAGAACCAGCTGCTGCTCCTTCAGTCACTGCAGAGACTCACTCTCCAGGACAAGCTGCTGACCACTCCCCTGGGCTCCCCGCTGAGCTGTGCAGGAGGTTCTGGGCCTTACTCTCTGTGCCCCCAAGCCTCTGCCAACTGCCCCTAAGGAAGTGCACACAGTGACCACTGAATCAAATGACACTCCAGCATGTTGCTCATGGGGCTCCTCAATCTAATGAAATACTAATAAATAACCCAAAGTGAACAGCTCGAGTAGAGCACCACTTAAAACTATCCTAAAACTCACGAATGAGAAGCACAAGGGAGCTGCTGCTGAAAACCTGTCTGCCAGTGCACAGGAGCAGGGGCCAGACGGGCTGGTCCTGTTCTCTCTGTACCCGAGCCCCCACCGGCCAGGAGAACGTGAACGGACCAATGGCTCCACTCGTTACACACTGATTCTCTGAAAGGAGCAGAAAAACGTGGTGGCACTCGCCTTGTGGGCATGGGGAGAGCTGAATGGGTTGTGGAGATGTCGCTACATGCCTTCTCACAACCAAAACATGGCTGTGAGGCGGCAGGGACAGGGCCCACAAGAAGAAAAGGAGCCCAGCATGCCAAGGAGGCCACACCAGTCCCAGCAGAACTGCTGAAGCAGAAGGGGAAGCCCGTAGAGCCACAGAGGGGCGGCTCTGGAGTCCACCACGCACAAGGCAACCGGAACAAGCCTGGCAGGAGGACGAGCGAGGTCTGGGCACGCGGTCCGGGGGCCCCCAACATCAGAGCTCTCGGGAGCAGCACAGCACAGGCGAGTGGGAGGAAGAAGGCTAGAAAAATGAGCTGAAGACACTCCAAGTAAGATGAGGGACTGCAGGGAAACCAGACCACACCCAAGAGGGACACAAAGTATTTTAAATGGCGCAGGGAGCTAACATCAAAATATTCTAGTAGAGTCAAAAAACTATTATTTTCTGATCCTTCCCATTCAACTCCTTGGCTCGCAATCTCAGCAGGAAAGGAAAGGGAGACAGCCAGTGTGTAGTCGTAAGTGAGCTTGCTTGAAGAGAAATTCAAGATAAACACCAGAATGAAAGACTTTCATCATTTCCAGGAAAGCAAAGTTTGTGGGTTTTATTCATTATTATTTCTGCTTCATCACTTTAATAGAAAATGCCATGCCCTGGACAGGGGTCTCAGTTGTTTGGAGCATTGTCCCACACACCAAAAGGCTGCAGGTTCAATCCCCAATCAGGGTGCCTATGGGAGGCAACTGATTGATGTTTCTCTCTCACATCGATGTTTCTCTCTCCCTCTTTCTCTCTTCCTCTCTCTAAAAATCAATAAACATATCCTTGAGTGTGGATTAAAAAAAGAAAAGAAAATGTCATGCCTCCAATTACTGAAAATTTTAAATGTCCGATTATTTGCACTGAATTATTCACTCAAGCAATCGGTGAATGCCAAAAATTAGCATTCACCACATATCGAGATTTAAAAAGTGTGTAAACACTGAATCCCTCAGTGGGCTCTCCGTCCTTGGACAGAGGGAAAAGAAGGCATCCAAAAAAAAAAGCAGGGCAGCAGACTGCCATCCCAGAACCAGCGAAACCAGGAGAGCAGGCGCGGGTTGAGGCCTGGAGGGGGTGGGTGCAGGCCGAGGGCACGAGCGGCCAGCACGTGGCTGTGCGCGCACAGCTCTGCAGAGTGAAGAACGCCTCCGCGGGCATCTGCATGTAAGTCCCACTGCACAGAGGGGACGGGGTCTGAGGCCACCAGTCCATGACGCCAGACTCACAGTCACACGGGGCTTGGCTTCATGAGGGAGGGAGGGAGGGGAAGGAGATGGCTGGTTCCTGTCCAGCGCCTGTGGTGACAGGTGAGCAGACGGAGGGCCTGGGACACAGCAGGAAGCCAAGTGAGGGCCCCCACGCCAGCTGCAAACTCCCCCAAGATTATCGTAGGCATCAGGAGATCACTTGTTGGGGCCTCACTGAGAGTAAAAAGCTAATTTTATGTATGAAGATCATTAGAAAAACCAGATACAAGTAATCCTTAAACAGAGCCTAAACACTAACACTGCACAAGGCCTCTTGGCCCCCAGCCGGGCTGACACAGGTAAAGTGGATGTGACAGCTGGAACCATGCACATGGACTTCACCCATCCCTGCAAGCAAAGGCACCTTGGGACAAGCCAGGCTCTCCTGCAGGTCTTCCCTAGGCAATATTATAGCAAGCTGCACCAAAATGGGCTTGCTCAAACTTGATATCAAAGCTCCACACCAACGCAGCTTTACAATCAACTAAGCATCACACGTCAACACTTTAAAGGGACGTATCTTTTTGATCCAGCAATTCCACCTCTATGACTTTACCAGAGGAAGGAGTCGGCATGCTCAAGTACACATTCTCAGATGTTCATCACGTGCCACTTTTAGGAGGGAAACTGCAAACTGAGGGACCCCTGGGAAGACGTGGCTTTAACGGATCCTTCCCGAATTCCAGCAATGCAGAAAAATGCTGACCCCCAAACACAGACGTAGAGACCCTCATTCGCACACTGCGGCGTGCACCGCACCGTCAGCTCTTAGACTGCGGTCTGTTTCCACCTGCGTCGGGGTGGCCGGCCGGAGCAAAGGCGTGGAGCGCGCTGGCCCCCAGCCCCCGGCCATGAGGTGGACGGGGCTGCAGTGCGATACACGGGCATGCTGCACATGGACCTGTGTTTCCTCCTTTATGCTTTTCTACATTTTCTCAAGTCTTACAAATAATGGGAGACTTATAAATCAAAATAAACTGAGCCACTGATGTATATGTTGGTGTGTCTGAGTTCTGAATGCTATTTCTCCCCAGTCCATGCAGAGGGCTCCCTGGCAGGAAAGCTCTTAAAGAAGGGTTTCCACAGTTCACAAGAGGCTTTCATCATCAGAGAAATTCATAAATACACCAAATTTAACACATTTATCGCAGTTTCAAACTAGGCGCCCTTACCTTTTCCAGGACTAAGGTTCTGGTCTATGAAGACCTTTAGTTCCCCGTTGGCTTCAATTAGACCGGCCTGCGGAAAACAACAACAGCCACAATAAATACATCAGCTAACAGAGCAAGAAAACCACAGCTGTTAACACGCCGTCCCTGTCAGAGGGTGGTATGAAATAACATGTTAAAAAGACAAAACCATCACTGCTGTGCAAACTACTAGAGAAAGCCATGGAGGGAAACGCCCAGGTCCTCTGCACGGGCGGCCTCAGCCCAAGAATTCTTTGGTCAGCATAAAAAAGGTCATTGAAAGATTTTAGCTTTTAAAGCTTAGCCCTTGGGATATTAAGGAAACACTGTTTTACTTATTAAATTGGCACGTTTTTAAGTGGTATTGTCTGAGGTGGGTAAAGGCACACGGCAGATGGACATGCAAATTCACTGGACTGTCTTGAAAGGGAACCGGTGATTTGGCCTGAGAACAGAGCAAGGATCTTCGGATGGGTCAGAGTCCCAAGACAAAACAAAACAAAAGTGCTTCTTTTCATTAACAGGGTAGTCACTGAATGTATCTTTGAAGCAAACCTTAACAGCTGTATGCAGCTTTGGGTCAAATTTCTTGATGTAGTGTGACTGACAGCAAACTGTCAAAGACAAATGTCATGATCAATATAATTTATCTAGGTTGCCTGATCTTAGATAAACAACATTTTACAAGCCCTTTCCAGAAAGAGCGAGAACCTTGGGAACATAAGAACTACAGTCATGTGCTCAGCCAGGTAGCAGGTTCGTTTTCGACAACTGAGCAGTTAATGATCTCAGAGCAGCAGATACCACAGGTCACCTAGCGTCCACATATGACTAATCTAAACCAGTTTGTTTTTTATTTTAAGATTTTATTTATTTTTAGAGCGAGGGTAGGGAGGAAGAAAGAGAGGCAGAGACACATCGATGTGCGAGAGAGACACCGACTGGCTGCCTCTCACACCGCCGGGCGAGGACCTGGCCCGCAACCGGGGCCTGCGCCCTGACCAGACGCCGAACCCGTCACCTTTCGGTTCGCAGTCCAGTGGTCGCTCCACTAAGCCACACCAGCCAGGGCTAAACCAGTTTTGATACTGGTTCATCCTACTCTTAAATGCCCAGAGACACAGCACAGCAGATTTTCCCAAAGGAAAACTGACTCCAAGCCTCCCCGCTGCCCTCCCAGCCACAAATGCATTTCTCCTAATTCTGCTCTCTGTAAAGGTGACAAATCATTTGGGGGCTTGAAGGCCAACCCAGGCAAGACACACACTCTGCCTGCTCCAGGCTGTGTGTGGACACAGAGGGCACCCTCGGGCATTTTTGTCTCCACCCCATCTGAAGGTGCACAGAGCCCCCGGGACCACTCCAGTCTCAGGCAGCGGCCGGGGCAGGGGAGACCGCACGGCAGCAGCGTCACTGGGCAAAGCCTCTCCTCAGTCCTCCAAGAGCACTCCACTAGAACCACTTAGGACAACGTGGGATTCAGGAGAAAAGCTGGACTGTTTCAAACACGAACTCATTCAGGTCCACATGGAAAGGCTATCAGCGTCATCGTCCACAAAAAGTCTTGCTAGTAGTTTGATGCATGTGTGGCCAACTATAAGATACCCCACTAAGCTCTGACACCTGGCCTGTCACCTGTTGAGAGGACTGCCCACTCCCCACATCTTCTCTGCTTCACTCCCAGGCCCCCCTCCCACCGGGTCTCCCGCCTGGTGAGTTTGAGATCGCAGCCTCCATCGCTGCTACCTGCAGACAGGGGACAGCTGCACCTGCCCCACCTCCCTCACAGCCTCTACAAGAATTACCACATGACATGCAAATCTTTAAACATCCACACGCGTGACCAGTCCTCCTGGTCTGCCCAGGTCCCAGGAAGTTCTGAGCGCTCCTGGGCGTTGGAATGCCAGTGCTCCAAGCAGGAAGGTCCCGGGCCAGCAGCCAGGTTCCTGTGAGTAGCTTAGTGACGCCTCCAAAGGTGTGTCCACCGACAAGTGCCGGTGTAAACAAGATTTATGAGTGGCACAAACCAGGCCACCTCAACCTGTGCCCCACGTCCTATGGCAAACCCGTCTTGGCATCCGAGCCCCTAGTCTCCTCAGGACGGAGCCAGTGCACCCAACAGCACTCCGACCTGCTCGGCTTCTCCTCTCAGAACCTGCCATGCAACACCTCACGCCATCGGGAACACAGTGACCAGCATGGGGACGTACTGAAATGAACCCCGTCACAGCCCTCCTTGGGATTTTCCCACATGAAGTCACTCTGACAGGTTTATGCTACAAAATTTAAATCACACAGCCACAAATACTGAATTAAAAAAAATATTACAGAGTGTTGTTGTATCATGGGTGTCTTCCTTACATCTTGTAGCCCTGAGGCACAGCCTGCCGATACTTACTTGATAACAATCAAAACACAGGTTGTTTTCTAATTTTTAAAAGGCATTTAGTGAGATTGCAATTAATTCTACTTATTTTCTGGACTTATTTTCTACAAAATCTTTATACTTAAGATGCAAACCAGGCTTCCTGTAAGGAAGCATCAAACTTCTAAATATATTAACATAAACCAATAGCAAAGGCACTCATTTGCCATAATTATCCTTAATTTTCCTCTCTCCCCGTCTCTTTGCATCTCTCCACGTCTCTGTCTCTCCCTCTCCCTGGCTCACTGGCTCAGATAACGTGAATTGCCCCACGGAGGTGCCATGTACCTAGGAGCAGACAGCGACCTCCAGCCAACAACCTTCAGGGGGCGGAATCCTAGCTCGGACACAGTCTCTGCCCCACGACCTCGGGTACAGCCCCTCTGAAGTTGAGCTGGAGGACCAGGGCAGCTGCAGCCAGACTCCTGACCCACAGAAATCACAGGGTAACAATGCTATAGCTCCAGGTCACTACACTTTGAGTAACCGTTACAGAACTGACATAGGAGAGCAGTCAAGATGCCAGAAACCATGCCGCTCGCTCTCAAAGTTGGTTCGCGCACCAAGCCTGTTTTCTACACAAGCCACTTGCTGGGGGTTTGTCTTTGCCACGGAAAGAGCACCATAGTGATATTACAAAACAATGAGAAATGGAGCACAATGCAAAAAAAATGTGAATTAGAGCTAAGGTTCATTACATAAAATATAAATTCCAAGTGGGTAAAAGAATAAAGTGGAAAAAGTAAAGCTAGGAATGCTGTATCTGGCAATAGCCAAACAGGAGCTTCAGATCACGGCTCCTGCTGAAAACAATACAAAATAAACTAATACAAATGTCTATATTTAAATCTGCACGATAAGATCAGAGCACTTCTGAGACAGGGACGGGAGGCACAGGGAACCGAAAATCAATGCCTTTGAGCCAGCAACACGATGCAGAAGGTGCCATCGGGAGAGCCCACGTGACACGCCTATCTATCCCGGTTCTGCTCGCCATAAAGGCAAGCTGCTGGAAACAACCCGAACGCCCACCAGTAAGGGCAGATACAGGAGGGCACGGCCAGACGAGAGGCCACGTCGGATCCTGATGCAGACACAGCTTATAAACTTTGAGAAGAATGGGGAAATTCAAACACTAGCTGTCTGACAATACTAATAAATTACTGCTTGTTGTTTTGGGCATGTGTAAAGAGTTCTTATCTTTGAGAGATACATACTGGAATAGTTAATGAAGTGGCATCCTGTTTGTAATATGCTCCAAAGTCCCCGGCTGGGGGAGAGGCATGGACACGCACGATGGCCATGGGCTGAGACGGGGACCAGAACGCAGGGTCGCTGCCATGCTCTCTCTGCTCCTGTGTGTGTTTGAAATGTCCCATGAAAGTTTTTAAAAAATGATCTGTGTTCATATTTACAAACGTGAAAAAGTCTAGGACAAACTGTGAAGTAAAATAACAGGGAGCAGGATATATGTGTTCATTTAGGGAAAGTTGTATAACACGCATGTACATTGAATCTAGGGAAGTTAGCCCCCAAAATACTCACAAAAAGGCAACAACAGACAATCACCCTGGACTATGATTTTCTGATGCCATTTGAATTTTTAAATAAGCCCTAAATAACAGGCCCTCAAATAACGACATTTCATTCAGTGCTGTTTTGTTACAACACTGGTGAGACGCCATAGGAACTTAACTTGTGTGGACATCAATCGGCCTATGGAAAAACTGGTTTCATTATACGTCATTCCACTTAAAGTTGCCGAACCTATCGACGATGTTATGTGAGGACTTAGAGTATTTTTATAATAAAGCGTGGGACTATTACTATTTTCTAACAAAGGATACAGTCACAAGGATAACAAAATCTAAGGATTTTGAGGGAGAAATGAGGATGGAGGTGGAAAGCCATCAACTGGAGCTCAGGACCCCATGGGAAACACACCAAGACAGCAGCAAAGCCTATGGGAGAGACGCCCAGAGAGGACCAGAAGGTCCAGAGAGCCATAAAGAAACCAAGATGACAACAAGAGCCAATGGAGCAGAGGACCACAACCACAGAGTAGACAGAGGGGGATGGAAGGTCACAGCTGGCCCCTCCTGTGGCTCAGGCAAGGCAGAATCCACTGCAGAGCATAAAAGCAACAGCGTGGAGACGAAACAACCAGGCAAAGGCCAATCTTCCCCCACAAGAAATCCACGTCCTCAGGAGAAAATCTCCAGTCCATCAGGGAAGGGAAGTGGAAGAGGTAGCAGTTAAATTTACACATTCCAGCAGACTCAGAGGAAAGGAAGAGGAACAGGTGTGGCAGACTGGGGAGTCGGGAGGCGGGGTAAGGAAGGGATTTGCTTCTGGTGCCAACAGGCGGATGAGACTGCCAGCATTTCTGAAATTCAGGTGAGACCCTGAGTTCTCTGCATGAGGTTAAGATATTGGCAATTAACGTACAAGTTAGTCGTTCCTCTTCCCCATGATGAGCAAAATAGGGACTCAAATGAATAGCCTAGGTTAACTTCAGGTTTTTTTCTTCAGTTGGATTTGGAGATCTCATCCCCTTCGGCTCTGAAATGCTAAGATTCCTCACTTCCTCTGCAGTAGCGCCTCCTTTGGCCCCCTGCCTCTGC